AAGAAGACTCAAGGCTGTAATCGCTGCCAAAGGTGCTTCAACAAAGTACTCAGTAAAGGGTCTGAATACTTATGTAAATGTGATATTTCAGTTTTTAATTTTTTATACATTTTCAAAATTGTCAAAAAAACAGTTTTTCCTTTGTCATTATGGGGTATTGTGTGTAGATTCATGAGAGGAAAAAAATAACAATTTTATCAATTTTAGAATAAGGCTGTAACGTAACAAAGTGGAAAAAGTAAAGGGGTCTGAATACTTTCTGAATGCACTGTGAGGGAAAAAAGTATTTGATCCCCTGCTGATTTTGTACGTTTGCCCACTGACAAAGACATGATCAGTCTATAATTTTAATGGTAGGTTTATTTGAACATTGAGAGACAGAATAACAACAAAAAAATCAAGAAAAAAGCATGTCAAAAATGTTAGAAATTGATTTGCATTTTAATGAGGGAAATAAGTATTTGACCCCTCTGCAAAACATGACTTAGTACTTGGTGGCAAAACCCTTGTTGGCAATCACAGAGGTCAGACGTTTCTTGTAGTTGGCCAACAGGTTTGCACACATCTCAGGAGGAATTTTGTCCCACTCCTCTTTGCAGATCTTCTCCAAGTCATTAAGGTTTCGAGGCTGACATTTGGCAACTCGAACCTTCAGCTCCCTCCACAGATTTTCTATGGGATTAAGGTCTGGAGACTGGCTAGGCCACTCCAGGACCTTAATGTGCTTCTTCTTGAGCCACTCCTTTGTTGCCTTGGCCGTGTGTTTTGGGTCATTGTTATGCTGGAATACCCATCCACGACCCATTTTCAATGCCCTGGCTGAGGGAATGAGGTTCTCACCCAAGATTTGACGGTACATGGCGCCGTCCATCGTCCCTTTGATGCGGTGAAGTTGTCCTGTCCCCTTAGCAGAAAAACACCCCGAAAGCATAATGTTTCCACCTCCATGTTTGACGGTGGGGATGGTGTTCTTGGGGTCATAGGCAGCATTCCTCCTCCTCCAAACACGGCGAGTTGAGTTGATGCCAAAGAGCTCGATTTTGGTCTCATCTGATCACAACACTTTCACCCAGTTCTCCTCTGAATCATTCAGATGTTCATTGGCAAACTTCAGATGGGCCTGTATATGTGCTTTCTTGAGCAGGGGGACCTTGCGGGCGCTGCAGGATTTCAGTCCTTCACGGCGTAGTGTGTTACCAATTGTTTTCTTGGTGACTATGGTCCCAGCTGCCTTGAGATCATTGACAAGATCCTCCTGTGTAGTTCTGGGCTGATTCCTCACCGTTCTCATGATCATTGCAACTCCACAAGGTGAGATCTTGCATGGAGCTCCAGGCCGAGGGAGATTGACAGTTATTTTGTGTTTCTTCCATTTGCGAATAATCACACCAGCTGTTGTCACCTTCTCACCAAGCTGCTTGGCGATGGTCTTGTAGCCCATTCCAGCCTTGTGTAGGTCTACAATCTTGTCCCTGACATCCTTGGAGAGTTCTTTGGTCTTGGCCATGGTGGAGAGTTTGGAATCTGATTGATTGCTTCTGTGGACAGGTGTTTTTATACAGGTAACAAACTGAGATAAGGAGCACTCCCTTTATGAGTGTGCTCCTAATCTCAGTTCGTTACCTGTATAAAAGACACCTGGGAGCCAGAAATATTTCTGATTGAGAGGGGGTCAAATACTTATTTCCCTCATTAAAATGCAAATCAATTTATAACATTTTTGACATGCGTTTTTCTGGATATTTTTGTTGTTATTCTGTCTCTCACTGTTCAAATAAACCTCCCATTAAAATTATAGACTGATCATTTCTTTGTCAGTGGGCAAATGTACAAAATCAGCAGGGGATCAAATACTTTTTTCCCTCACTTTATATACACTGGCAGTCAAAAGTTTAGACACACCTACTCATTTTAGGGGTTTTTCTTTATTTTTACTATTTTTTACATTGTAGAATAATAGTGAAGACATCAAAACTGTGAAATAACACATATGGAATCATGTAGTAACAAAAAAGTGTTTAAAAAAATCTAAATATATTTTAGATTCTTCAAAGTCGCCACCCTTTGCCTTGATGACAGCTTTGCACACTCTTGGCATTCTCTCAACCAGCTTCATGAGGTAGTCACCTGGAATGCATTTCAATTAACAGGTGTTCCTTCTTAAAAGTTAATTTGTGGAATTTCTTTCCTTCTTATTGTGTTTGAGCCAATCAGTTGTGTTGTGACAAGGTAGGGGGGTATACAGAAGGTAGCCCTATTTGGTAAAAGACCAAGTCCATATTATGGCAAGAACAGCTCAAATAAGCAAAGAGAAATGACAGTCCGTCATTACTTTAAGACATGAAGGTCAGTCAATACGGAACATTTCAAGAACTTTGAAAGTTTCTTCAAGTGCAGTCGCAAAAACCATCAAGCGCTATGATGAAACTGGCTCTCATGAGGACCGCCACAGGAATGGAAGACCCAGAGTTACCTCTGCTGCAGAGGATATGTTCATTAGAGTTACCAGCCTCAGAAACTGCAGCCCAAATAAATGCTACATTTACATTTACATCATTTAGCAGACACTGGATTTAAATAGTTCAAGTAACAGACACATCTCAACATCATCTGTTCAGAGGAGACTGTGTGAATCAGACCTTCATGGTCGAATTGCTGCAATGAAACCACTACTAAAGGACATCAATAAGAAGAAGAGACCTGTTTGTGCCAACAAACACGAGCAATGGACATTAGACCGGTGGACATGTGTCCTTTTGGAGTCCAAATTGGAGATTTTTGGTTTCAACCGCCGTGTCTTTGTGAGACGCGGTGTGGGTGAACGGATGATCTCCGAATGGGTAGTTTCCCACCGTAAAGCATAGAGGAGGAGGTGTTATTGTGTGGGGGTGCTTTGCTGGAGACTTTGTCTGTGATTTATTTAGAATTCAAGGCACACTTAACCAGCATGGCTACCACAGCATTCTGCAGCGATATACCGTCCTATCTGGTTTGGTCTTAGTGGGACTATCATTTGTTTTTCAATAGGACAGTGACCCAACACACCTCCAGGCTGTGTAAGGGCTATTTCACCAAGAAGGAGAGTGATGGATTGCTGCATCAGATGACCTGGCCTCCACAATCCCCCGACCTCAACCCAATTGAGATGGTTTGGGATGAGTCGGACCGCAGAGGGAAGGAAAAGCAGCCAACAAGTGCTCAGCATTTGTGGGAACTCCTTCAAGACTGTTGGAAAAGCATTCCAGGTGAAGCTGGTTGAGAGAATGCCAAAAGTGTGCAAAGCTGTCATCAAGGCAAAGGGTGGCTATTTGAAGAATCTCAAATATAAAATATATTTTCATTTTTTAAACACTTTTTTGGTTACTACGTGATTTCATAGTTTTGATGTCTTCACTATTATTCTACAATGTAAAAAATTTTAAAAATAAAGAAAAACCCTTGAATGAATAGGTGTGTCCAAACTTTTGACTGATACTGTATACATTTACTGAGTGTACAAAAAAAGTAAAAAAACATTAAGAACACCTGCTCTTTCCATGACATAGACTGACCAGGTGAATTCAGGTGAAAGCTATGATCCCTTATTGATGTCACCTGTTAAATCCACTTCAATCAGAATCATTGCAGATGAAGGGTAGGAGACAGGTTAAAGAAGGATTTTTAAGCCTTGAGACCTTTGAGACATGGATTGTGTATATGTGCCATTCAGAGGGTGAATGGGCAAGACAAAATATTTAAATGCTTTTGAACGGGGTATGGTAGTAGGTGCCAGACGCACCGTTTTGTGTCAAGAACTTCAACGCTGCTGGGTTTTTCACGCTGAACAGTTTCCCGTATGTATCAAGAATGGTCCACCAGAGAGAGAGAGAAAGATCTTGTAAAAGAGGCTTTAAATCTCTCCAGCCTTGAGATCCAGACAACAGAATAGTTATAGTGGGAACTCACACAGACCACTCTCCCTAATGATGCTTTCTCTCTCTGGTAGAGAGGGATGGAGGTACATAGGGAGACTGAGGAGGAAGAGAAATACTTGAAATAGCAGACTGAACTCCAGACTTCTGACTGCAGGCCCGGGCATTGATCATGAGGAGAAGAGATTACGTTATTTTAGAGCAGGGGTCCCCAAATTACATTCAGCCTGGGACGGTTTTTCCTTGAACAGATAGTCGGGGGGCCAGAGTATAGTTATACATAATTTGTACACTGCATATTGACCGCAAGGATCCCAAACATATATAGTATTTGACAAAAACTAAATAATTTCAAACCTTGATTACATTGGGATATGATCACGTGCCTCTCTATTTATGTGTGGGAATACTTGGGAACAGATTTCCTAAATTAAAATAACTTTGAGCTGATTTCCTTCTGATTTTACAGTCTTTTATTTCCTTTACGCGCGTGCGTATGTGGTTCAAGTGTGTGTGTGTGTGTGTGTGTGTGTGCCGCATGGGCATGGCATGCGCCTTCAAATGCTTGCCATTGTGATGGACTCACGCATAGTGTTAGTCCATCCCAGCCCGCGCGCGGAGAGAAAACACCGACACAAGGTTTAGGCCTACGGTTGACGTGAAACTTAACAAGAATACCGAGAACGAAGACCATTTCACCGGTAACTCTGATTCCCGAGACTTTCGTGTGGATTTGGGAGAGAGAAGTGAGTAAACCTGACCAGTGACCTGGTCAACAGAAGAAGTAACTGCATGACTGTTTATACTACTACGATATAATCCCAGATCAACATTCCAATCAATTTATTTTGTCTTATTTTCTGTCACTGTCAAAATATTTTTGGTGTTATAACCCTAGGCAAAAAAATTAACCTCAGAGCCGTTCAGGATATTTTTTGTTGTGAAACAAGAATCAAAAAGAAAAACAATATCACACTAAATTAGGCTACTGGAAATATCTAAACTTATTCTTAAAATATAATATTTATTATTTTAGCATTGAATATCTGGATTCTTACTATTTCAACACCAAAGCTCTGAGATCTGAAGATGGACTCGCTGTTGAACATGACGGATTACTACCCTTCCGTTAACGCCACTAACGGCTCCGGTTTGAACGACACAGAAGGCTATAACCAGTTCGTGCAGCCGGTGTGGCAGATCGCTCTCTGGGCAGTCGCCTACTGCAGCATGGTGTGCGTCTCCATGATCGGTAACCTGGTGGTCATCTGGATCATCCTCGCGCACAAACGCATGAGGACCGTGACCAACTACTTCCTGGTAAACAAACAATTCTTAAAATCTAAAGAAGGAGATGGCTTTTTTATTTATTTATTTATAATTTTGTAACAATTTCTCCATTGAATGTGAACTTTTTTCGTGTGTGTGTCTGTCTGTTTGTCTGTGTCCCTCTGTGTATGTGTCTGTCTGTCTCTCACTCCCTCCATCTGTCTTTGTCTGATCCCTCTCTTCCTCTCCTCCCAGGTGAACCTAGCCTTTGCAGAGGCGTCCATGTCTGCCTTCAACACAGTGATAAACTTTGCCTACAGTGTCCATAACGAGTGGTACTTTGGTTTGGGCTACTGTCGCTTCCATAACTTCTTCCCCATCGCAGCTGTCTTCGCCAGCATATACTCCATGACCGCCATAGCACTGGACAGGTGAGCAGTGTGTGTGTTTGTTGTCACTGGAATCTACTCCATGACCGCATGACCGCAATAGCTCGGAACAGGTGAGAAACCTGTACTCCTGAGTGGCGCAGTGGTCTAAGGCACTGCATCGCAGTGCTAACTGTGCCACTAGAGAACCTGGTTCGAATCCAGGCTCTGTCGCAGCCGGCCGCGACTGGGAGACTCATGGGCGGCGCACAATTGGCCCAGCGTCGTCCAGGGTAGGGGAGGGAATGGCCGGCAGGGATGTAGCTCAGTTGATAGAGCATGGCGTTTGCAACGCCGTGGTCCTCTGTAGCTCAGCTGGTAGAGCATGGCGCTTGTAACGCCAAGGTAGTGGGTTCGATCCCCGGGACCACCCATACGTAAAAATGTATGCACGCATGACTGTAAGTCGCTTTGGATAAAAGCGTCTGCTAAATGGCATATTATTTATTATTATTATTGTGGGTTCGATTCCCACGGGGGGCCAGTATAAAAAAAAATATATGTATTCACTAACTGTAAAAGAGCGTCTGCTAAATGACTAAAATGTAAATGTAAAATGTAAACCTTATATACTGTATGTGTGTGTGTGTATGACCACACCACAGCCAGCTACAGTAAAGCTTACATAACATCTATGTACGATGCCTTCAGAAAGTATTCATACCCCTTCACTTATTCCACATTTTGTTGTGTTACAGCCTGAACTCAACATTTTTCTCACCCATCTACACACAATACCCCATAATGACAAAGTCAAAACATGTTTTTAGATATTTTAGCACGTTTATTAAAAAAGAAATACAGAAATATCTAATTTATAAGTATTCACACCCCTGAGTCAATACTTTGTAGAAGCAACTTTGGCAGCGATTACAGCTGTGAGTCTTTCTGGGTAAGTCTCTAAGAGCTTTCCACACCTGGATTGTGCAACAGTTGCCCATTATTCTTTCAAAAAATATTCAAGCACTGTCAAATTGGTTGTTGATTGTTGCTAGACCACAATTTTCAGCTCTTGCCATAGATTTTCAAGTAGATTTAAATCAAAACTGTAACTCAGCCACTCAGGAACATTCACTGTCTTCTTGGTAAGCAACTCCAGTGTAGATTTGGGCTTGTGTTTTAGGTTATTGTCCTGCTGAAAGGTGAATTAATCTCCCAGTGTCTGGTGGAAAGCAGACTGAACCAGGTTTTCCTCTAGGATTTTGCCTGTGCTTAGCTCCATTCTGATTTTTTTTATCCTGAAAAACTCAAGACTGTATCTTTGTAGTGACTGGGTGTATTGATCAGGGGTTGGAACCGGTTCAGGGAACAGAACAGAAAACAACAAAAAATTTCAAGGAACAGAAACGGAACTGGAAACAAAGTGGTCCACACTGTTCCGGAAAATAACCGTTATTTTTAAAAGCATTGAAAATGGTTAATAACGTTATTTTACGTTCCAGACATTTTTTGTAGTCCCACAATTTTTTTTTTACAAAGCGCCTATGCAAAGCCCTCACTCTGTCACTCAGAAACGTATTACAGCATCTGCCTGCAAGCTGAAAATCTTTGCCAGTGTGTGTGCGTGTTTAGGCTACCTGCCCCTCCCCCCTCCAAAGCATAGGCTACTGTACGGATGTTTGAAGCGTGAAAAGATAGGAGAGACATTTTTAATTAGCTAGAGAAGAATGGATTAACTTTTTTCATGCTAGTTAAGGACACTATAGGCCTAGTTATCACGTTTCACGTTGGATTTATTAACTACAAAAAGGTAATTAGCTAGCAAGCTCAAAGGATATTCAAAGTGCCTTCATAGAAGCCACTCATCGTAGGTATTATTCTGTGGACCTAATTCAGATGCTGCATATCATGACAAGATGCCTACCGCTTCAAGCCTGCTCCTCAACCCTATCTCGCTCTCTCCCCACCCATAACATTTCAGTCAAATCTTGAGCCATAGTCTACACTAGTCTGTCCATCACGCATGTAAACAACTAGCTTGCCTGCTCTATCCGCACTGATTGGAGAAATAATTTAATGAGCTAACTGTAAAAAACTGTTGATTTCACAGGTTAAAAAAGGAACAGAAAGGAACGATATCAACGGTACATTTTTGGGTTCGAACCGGTTCAGAACTTTATTTTGCTGGTTGGAACAGTGAAACGGAACAAAAAAAATAGTGGTTCAGTTCAGAAGTAAATGATTGGTTCCAACCCCAGGTATTGATACAGCATCCAAAGTTTAATAACTTCACCATGCTTAAAGGGATATACAATATCAATTTTTTTTACCCATCTACCAGTCGTTGCCCTTCTTTGCGAGACATTGGAAAACCTCCCTGGTCTTTGGGGTTGAATCTGTGTTGAAATTCACTGCTCGACTGAGGGATCTTACAGATAATTTTTACTCCTGAACTTACTAGGCTTGCACTAACAAAGGGGTAACAAAGGGGTTGAATACTCAAGACATTTCAGCTTTTTATTTGTAATTAATTTGTACACATTTTGAAAAATATAATTTCACTTTGACATTATGGGGGATTGTGTGTAGGCCAGTGACAAACATCTAAATTTAATACATTTTAAATTGAGGCTGTAACACAATAAAATGTGGAAAAAGTCAAGCGGTATGAATACTTTCTGTGAAGGCAACATGAGTCTTAAATCCCCTCTATAATCTTCAGCATTGGCTTCTGTCAACCACAGGATTAGCTTTTGACTTGTCTAGCCTCAATTCAAGTGGATGTTGTGTGTGTGTGTATACTGTATGTGTTTGATATGTGTGTGTATGAGCAACCTTTTCCTCGAGATACATTCTCCAACCCTGCTTCTCTCTCGCATACTGTCATCAGTATGTTGCCACAGCGTAAGTGTGTGTGAGCAGCCTTTTCCTTCAGATTATCCCTGCTACCCTCTTCTCCATCCCTCCTTCTCTCCATCCTTTGTTCTGGGTTCACTGTCAGAACACAGATCCCCCTCTCATCAGTCTGTCACCACAATGTCAGAACAATCTGAACATTCAAGCATTATTGAAGTAGTCAGCTTTCAGCTCTCTCTCTTTCTGTGTGTGTGTGTATGCGCGCGCGTGTGTGTGTGTATATGTGAGAGAGAGAGAGAGAGAGAGAGAGAGCAGCCCTTTGCCCCAGTTGATGCTCACACAGAGTGCCCAGCAAACCGGGAACATTCTCAGAACATTACCTAAGATTCCCCTTAAATTCTAGTTCTCCTAACATTCACTAAAATGTTGTTCACAATCATCTGTAAAAACTACCACAGAACATTCCCCTAAGGTTCTCATTAGGTTGCCAGGGAATGTAATAACACAATGTTCCGGTAATGTTCTTAGAACATACTGCCGCAACAAAATGTGGGCGCAATAGAAGTGTTTCTGAGGAAACATTACAGGAACGTTCTGCTGATGTTGATAGATATGTTATTCAAAACACCCATAACAACAAGCAGGGAATAGTCCTACATGGTCTCATAAAGGTATAGTGTGACATTAAGACATGATGGTTCTAAAAACGTTCCCTGAGCATACATCAGAAATTAAATGTTGGAGTAATAGAAGTTATTCTAAAAAAAAATCCTGGAATATTGAGCTAATGTTGATGGAGATATTACTACTACCACCTATAACAACAAATAACAAACATTCCAAATGTTATTCTGTAAGGTTATGACAATCCATAATTGTTCTAAAAACATACTTCAGCGATAAGGAAAGTAGTTCTGAAAATATTGCTTAAATGTTCTGCTAATATTGATGTGTAATGTAACATTATAAACTTGCCAAACCTTTAAACAAATGACATTTCAATCTTCTTACATCATTATATTTTATTAGGGTATTGTCCAAACATAGCAATAGCTTTTTTAAAGAATAGTAATCCAGTATATTTGAACCTGTGATCTGCCATCTTCAAGCCGTCAGCTACTTAGTGTGCTGCGCCACCAGGATCCTAATGTTTCTAGTGGATTTCCCTTTCTACTGAAATCCTTAAATTATTATCCAAACTATGGCTATACAGTATGTCTTAGTACATACAGTATGCACATGTATGTACACCTCACTGAAATCTGCCAGGCAATAATTTAACATGATTTGTGAAATCAAGTTTGTAGGGAAAATAAAAGTCAAAACATCTCAACTTTACAGTATATAAAGAAGATGGATAGATTAAGAAATAATAGAGGACACTTATTTTTCTAGATTTAGTTATTCTCTCTTCCACAACCTGGAAGTCAGAGTAAAGGTGCAAACAGCTTTATATTTGTGTTAGTCCCAGCCCAGTGGCGCAGTGGCTTTATTCCAGGGATAACACTCCAAAGTACTGTGTTCATACAATAAATGTCTAATACATTGTCATGTGACTAACACATGAAAGAAACCTCCATGGCCTGTTCAAACCCTAATGTTATCATTCTGGAAACATAGGAGTAGCATTCTAAGAACATTGAGGGAATGTTTTGTGCACCCTGATACAAACATTGTAAGAATGTCATCACAACTGAACAGATTTTGTGTTTTGGGAACCTACCGTATCTTTTGTAATGTACCCACACTGTTCCCACAACCTAATTTAAATGTTATGGGAATTTTTTAAGAACTCAGAACGGCTGTTCTGTCAACATTCTTGCAACATCAAAGAAATGTTTTGTGCACCCTGATAGAAACATTATCTGAATGTCAGCACAATTGGACAGTTTGAGTGTTTTGGGAACCTATCTCTTGTCATATGTTCCAACAACCTAAAGAAATGTTTTAGGAACTTTTTAAAGTTTTTAAAGTTCTGGGAACATTCTTTTAACATCACGTCAGTGTTTGTTTGCACCCTAAAACATTGTATAATCATCCGCACAACTGGACAGTTGTTGTGTTTGGGAACATATATTTTGTGATGTCCCCACAATGTTCCTACCAGACTTTTCCTACAACCTAATAAAACATTCTGGGAACCTTTAAAGAACAGACAAAATGTGTTCTGGGAATGTTTTATACAGTGCCTTCGGAAAGTATTCAGACCCCTTGACTCTTTCCACATTTTGTTACATTACAGCCTTATTCTAAAATTGATTAAATCGTTTTTCCCCCTCATCAATCTACACACAATAACCCATAATGACAAAAAGCAAAAACAGGTTTTTAGAAATGTTTGCTAATTTATATTTATAACAAAATCTGAAATAACACATTTACATAAGTATTCAGACCGTTTACTCAGTACTTTGTTAAAGCACCTTTGGCAGCGATTACAGCATTGAGTCTTCTTGGGTATGACGCTACAAGCTTGGCACACCTGTATTTCTCTACAGGTACATTTTGTGTACCTGTAGCTCAGCTGGTAGAGCACGGCGCTTGTAACACCAAGGTAGTGGGTTCGATCCCCGGGACCACCCATACACAAAATGTATGCACGCATGACTGTAAGTCGCTTTGGATAAAAGTGTCTGCTAAATGGCATATTATATATATTATTATTATATTATTATATTATATTATTATATTATTATATTATATTATTTGGGGAGTTTATCCCATTCTTCTCTGCAGATCCTCTCAAGCTCTGTCAGGCTGGATGGGGAGCGTCGCTGCACAGCTATTTTCAGGTCTCTCCAGAGATGTTTGATTGGGTTCAAGTCTGGGCTCTGGCTGGGCCACTCAAGGACATTCAGAGATTTGTCCCGAAGCCACTCCTGCGTTGTCTTGGCAGTGTGCTTAGGGTCGTTGTCCTGTTGGAAGGTAAACCTTCGCCCCAGTCTGAGGTCCTGAGCGCTCTGGAGCAGGGTTTCATCAAGGATCTCTCTGTACTTTGCTCCGTTCATCTTTGCCTCTATCCTGACAAGTCAGTCCCTACCGCTGAAAAACATCCCCACAGCATGAGGCTACCACCACCATACTTCACCATAGCGATGGTGCCAGGTTTCCTCCAGACGTGACGCTTGGCATTCAGGCCAAAGAGTTAAATCTTGGTTTCATCAGACCAGAGAATCTTGTTTCTCATGGTCTGAGAGTCTTTAGGTGCCTTTTGGCAAACTCGAAGCAGGCTGTCATGTGCCATTTACTGAGGAGTGGCTTCCGTCTGGCCACTCTACCATAAAGGCCTGATTGGTGGAGTGCTGCAGAGAAGGTTCTCCCATCTCCACAGAGGAACTCTAGAGCTCTTTCAGAGTGACCATCGGGTTCTTGGTCACCTCCCTGACCAAGGCCCTTCTCCCCTGATCGCTCAGTTTGGTCGGGCGGCCAGCTCTAGTAAGAGTCTTGGTGGTTCCAAACTTCTTCCATTTAAGAATGATGGAGGCCACTGTGTTCTTGTGGACCTTCAATGCTGCAGACATTTTTTGGTACTCTTCCCCAGATCTGTGCCTTGACACAATCCTGTATCGGAGCTCTATGACAATTCCTTCGACTTCATGGCTTGGTCTTTGCTCTGACATGCACTGTCAACTGTGGGACCTTATATAGTAAGGTGTGTGCCTTTCCAAATCATGTCCAATCAATTTAATGTACCACAGGTGGACTCCAATCAAGTTGTAGAAACATCTCAAGGATGATCAATGGAAACAGGATGCACCTGAGATCAATTTCGAGTCTCATAGCAAAGGGTCTGAATACTTATGTAAATAAGTTATTTCTGTTTTTTATTTGTAATACATTTGAAAACTATTCTAAAAACCTGTTTTCGCTTTGTCATTATGGGGTATTGTGTATAGATTGCTGAGGAAAATGTTTCATTTAATCCATTTTAGAATAAGGCTGTAACGTAACAAAATGTGGAAAAATTCAAGGGGTCTGAATACTTTCCAAAGGCACTGCAATCATCAGCGCACCTGGACAGTTTTTGTGTTATGAGAACTACAGTTGGACTGTGGTTCACAGAGGGTGGTGCAGTCAGCCCAACGCATCACCGGAGTGCACACTGCCTGCCCTACAGGACATCTACAGCACCTGGTGTCCAAGAAGATCATCAAGGACCTCAGCCACGGCCTGTTCACCCCACTACCATCTAGAAGGCGGAGACAGTATAGGTGCATCAAAGCTGGGACAGAGAGACTGAGAAACAGCTTCTATTTCCAGGCCATCAGACTGTTAAACAGTCACCACTAGCCTTAGTCACTGTTCTAGCTGGCTATCACCCGGTACTCTACCCTGCACCTTAGAAACTGCTGCCCTGTGTACATAGAGTAATTGAACACTGGTCACTTTAATAATGTTTACATACTGTTTTACACACTTTATATGTATATACTGTATTCTACTCATGGCTCATCCTATATAACTACTGCTGTACACACCTTTTCTATTCATATACTCTCCATACTGTCTATACACACCATTATATGTATATATATTTATATTCCGGTCTCTGACATTGCTCGTTATGATATTAATTTATAAAAAAAAATCTGGATTATGTGTGTATTGTTTTATTATATTTGTATTGCTAGGTATTACTGCACTGTTGGAGCTAGAAACACAAGCATTTTGCTGCACCTGTGATAACATCTGCAAAGCTGTGTACGCGACCAATAAACGTTGATTTGATTTGCCGCAACCTTACAAATGTTCTGGGAACTTTAACAGAACCTATTTGAGGGGGAGAAGGGGTGGAAAGGATGGAGAGGAAGGGTCGGAGGGGGAAGAGAGGGAAGAGAGGAAGGGAGATGTTAGTTTTGGCGTCACCCCATCTCCTTCTCTTGATTAGAAAAGTAAGTCACATCAGTGAAGCAAAAGGAGAGTAAAGGATGAGAGGAAAGGAGAAGGATCAGAGATACATTTACATCAACACTGCATGATTACCTTTCATTAGAGCTTGGAGTATACACGCATGCACACACACACACAGAGACACACACACATACCCGCACACGCACATACACACAGAGTGTGCAGTGTCTCTTCTCCATCTGTCACCAAGATGCTATTGAACTAAAGAAGGTGAACTATCAGTAATTGCCAACTACAGTAATGTATCTGCATGTGTGTGTGTAACTGATCACTGTGTGTGTGTGTGTGTGTGTGTATGTATGTGTGTTTGTTCCAGGTACATGGCTATCATCCACCCCCTGAAGCAGAGGTTGTCTTCGACAGAGACCCGTGTAGTGATCGGAGTGATCTGGGTGTTAGCTCTACTGTTGGCCTTCCCCCAGTATCACTACTCAACTACTGAACAGCTGCCTGGTAGGACTGTCTGCTACATCCAATGGCCCGAATACACCAACAACACAACCATGGACTTCAAGAAGATGTGAGTACTGACACACACACACACACACACACACACAAATGGGTTTGTTTAATGGAAGCATCATCTTCAAGAGGTTCACTAGACATTAGAGAATAAACTGCGTAATTGTCTGTCTGTAAAATCTGATTTAGTACTCACCTCCTTTTTCTGTCTTTGAGCTAAAATCCCAACAAGGGTAATTCCACATCAGCATAGCCCGAAAATATTTTTGGTATTTCCCCTGACCTTTTTTTCATAGCGCTAAAGGTCCTGAAGCTTCTGCGCATGTGTTTATTCTATACGTTGTGCACTCTGCTATACTCGTAGAGAACAGGCTACTCTGGCAAATGGTTCTCGTTTAATAAAGTCAGATTCAAGTTGAATCAATGTCTGCAAGATCACATAATAATAGTATTCTACAGAACAGAACAGAATATAATAGCATAGTATAACGTTACTGTAAGACAAAAACACCACCACATTGTTCTCTCATATGGCCAGAACTCAACAGTGTGTGCCACTAGGCATAATCCACAGGTAGGCTATGCTACAGTTTGTTAACACCATCTGCTATAAAATGATCTCACTGTACATCATTCAAAACAACACTGTAGGCCTATAACTCAAGAAGATATAAATGCATATCCCTGTTAAACTGATTGAGATCAAATGGTTGATGCTGCAAGGCCGTTTCACCGGTAAAACTTGAAGAATGATCATTCATGATTGACAGTGAGAAATGTGAAGGGAAGGAGACCAACAAAATGTGAGCATAAAGTAGAGATATTAAGAAACATGTGTAGAACGTGATCCCCATATGCGCAGAATGTCACGCCCTGGCTCTGGGGACTCTTTTATGTTGAGCCAGGGTGTTAGTTTCTATGTTATAGTTTCTATGTGTTTATTCTAGATCGTTTAGTTCTATGTTGGCCAGGGTGGTTCCCGATCAGAGGCAGCTGTTGCTCGTTGTCTCTGATTGGGAACCATACTTAGGCAGCCTGTTGGCACTTTTGTATTGTGGGATCTTGATCCGTAAGGTTTGTGTTTAAACCCTAGGACTTCACGTATCATTTGTTGTTTTGTTCGTGTGTACTCAATAAAAGAATGTACGCTTATCACGCTGCGCCTTGGTCCGCTTCATCATGTGTCAACGATCGTGACAGAAGATCCCACCTCAACTGGATCAAGCAGCGTGACGAGGAGAGAGGATGGACGTGGGAGGAGATGAGTGCGAGTCTGGCAAGAGGGATGGAGGCCTTGAGCACGGGGGAGAGACAAGCCCAATAAATTTTTAGGGGGGGGCTCACACCGTGGACGGCGAGGCAGCGGGAGGCCGCGATAGAGCGGTTCGGCAGGTTTGCAGAGGAGGCCGCCAGGTTACGGGGGCCACTGGTCACGAGGGAGAAGGGTAGTGTAGAGGCACGGCGAGAGGTACTGGGGTGTGTTACCAGTCCGGTCCGGCCCGTTCCTGATTCCCGCACAAGGCCAGTGGTGTGTGTTCCCAGTACGGTCCGGCCTGTTCCTGTCCCTCGCACCAAGCCAGTGGTGCGCGTCGCCAGCCCGGTCCGGCCTGTTCCTGCTCCCCGCACCAAGCCAGTGGTGCGCGTCGCCAGCCCGGTCCGGCCTGTTCCTGCTCCCCGCACCAAGCCTGTGGTGCGCGTCGCCAGCCCGGCCCGGCCTGTTCCTGCCCCTCGCACCAAGCCTGTGGTGCGCGTCACCAGCCCGGTCCGGCCTGTTCCTGCTCCCCGCACCAAGCCAGTGGTGCGCGTCGCCAGCCCGTCCCGGCCTGTTCCTGCCCCTCGCACCAAGCCTGTGGTGCGCGTCACCAGCCCGGTCTGTTCCTGCCCCTCGCACCAAGCCTGTGGTGCGCGTCGCCAGCCCGGTCCGGTCTGTTCCTGCTCCCCGCACCAAGCCTGTGGTGCGCGTCGTCAGCCCGGTCCGGCCCGTTCCTGCTCCCCGCACCAAGCCAGTGGTGCGCGTCGTCAGCCCGGTTCGGCCTGTTCCTGCTCCCCGCACCAAGCCAGTGGTGCGCGTCGTCAGCCCGGTCCGGCCCGTTCCCGCTCCCCGCACCAAGCCAGTGGTGCACGTCGTCAGTCCGGCACGGTCCGTGCCTGTTCCACCTGTGCCTGGTCCGGCACCGGTCAGCTGCTCCACGCCGGAGCCAGAGCAATCCGCTCCACCGGTGTTCAGTCCAGCTCCGGCCAGCAGGGCCAGACCACGAGGGCGAGAGAGAGAGTGGTGGTCACGCCCGGAGCCGGATCCGCCTCCGAGGCGGAATGCCCACCCGGCCCCTCCCCTGTTGGGTTTAGTTGGCGCGGTCGCAGTCCGCGCCTTTGGGGGGGGTGTACTGTCACGCCCTGGCTCTGGGGACTCTTTTATGTTGAGCCAGGGTGTTAGTTTCTATGTTATAGTTTCTATGTGTTTATTCTAGATCGTTTAGTTCTATGTTGGCCAGGGTGGTTCCCGATCAGAGGCAGCTGTTGCTCATTGTCTCTGATTGGGAACCATACTTAGGCAGCCTGTTGGCACTTTTGTATTGTGGGATCTTGATCCGTAAGGTTTGTGTTTAAACCCTAGGACTTCACGTATCGTTTGTTGTTTTGTTCGTGTGTACTCAATAAAAGAATGTACGCTTATCACGCTGCGCCTTGGTCCGCTTCATCATGTGTCAACGATCGTGACACAGAAGCTTTGGGACCTTCTGCGTTTGGAAAATATGTTGGATCCGCAGCCACGGCCTTTGGTTAATCATGTCACATTACCTGGATTTTAACCTTTATTTTAAGTATTTTCCAACTGAGAATTAGATCAAAATTTTAAGCAATTGTCTGAGGATGTTGCTGGACTATCTGACATCAAAAGAAAAGGGGACAGTGATAAAAAAGCTTTAAATAAAGGTTAAAATCCAGGTCATGTGACAGGATTAACCAAAACACAGGGCCCTACATGTGGTCCAACTACTAAAATAAAATGGTGTATAATAAATAAATAAAAGTTTATTTGTTATTACAAATTAAGGTGCATATGCATGTTTTTCTAAAAACATAGTGACAACTTTTGAAAGGAGAGTTAAAAGCCACTTTGTTTCAATTATGCCTGTTTTCAGTCACTAGCCTACCTAGACTAATTATGGTTGCGTTCGTAAATTCACTCTGGCTATCTACTCCGATTTCAGCGCACTATTGTCTAAGTGTGCCAGAGTGCAGAATAACTGATACATTTACAAACGCGCAACATCCGTTGAATATGACCGGTGTCAGTAAACATCTGCAAAAAAACATAGTTAAATTGTTGCCAGCAGCACAGTTACAGTCACCAGCGCTCTAGATAACATGAAAACACCCTAACCAGCATTGCTAGGGTGAGTAAAATGGTCAGAGTGAGGTGTTCTCTCATTTGTGTCTGGAAGTAGCTAGCAAGCTAGCCAACTTTAGCAAGTTAGCTTGGGTGTTTGACTGCCGTTGTGAGGTCAGAACGCTTGGATCAACCCTACTCCTTGGCCAGAGCTGAACGCTCCGAGAGCGAAATGCTCTGAAGTTACAAACGGACAATCTGACAATGCTCTGAATTGACGAACACCCAGAGCACACTCTGAGTGCACTCTGGCACTCCAGAGGGAATTTACGAACACACCCTATGTCAATTCATTTGCATAGCCAGGTAAATAGAAGAGGGGACGAGATAACTTGCAGTGACAGACCTACTGAGAATTTAGATGACACATTATCAACTTCGATAGCTGTTTAAAAAAAATAATGTTTATTCATTATGAAATTATGACAAATATTAATAATATTCCACCCATGAGGCCACTGGAGGGCGATTTGGTCATTTGACTGCAGGAAAGGGGTCTACCTGCTTGCTTATTAGATAATGTTTTGTAGCTGGTTTGCTAAATAGCTTTCTAGCTAGCTATGCTCAGGGTTGGAAATTGGCCAGAACCCTCAGTGCTCCTATCTCCTCTGTGCTTGGGCCTACAAACAAATGGGAAAATGCATGCAATAGCCTCTATCCCTAGCCAGTTCATGTAGGATCAGCTGATAGATAATAATACGAATACTACTACTACTAATAATAATAATAATGATAATAATAATAAATTTTATTTTAAGCGCTTTTCACAACCCCCAAAGTCACTTTACATACACAAGAACATCTGCAGGATAAAAAGCAATAAAATCACATATTAAAATAAGTAAATATTTAAAGTACACTAAACATGATGCCAGACTAACCAGGGAAGTGAACTAGACAGAGGATGAACGCTAAAACAACGGAGAATCCGGGTAAGCCTGTGTGAACAGGTGTGTCTTTAGTGTGGACTTGAATATGTGTATGGATTGTGAGGTTCTGACATGGAGAGGGAGAGAGTTCCAGAGTTGAAGAGCTGCACAGCAAAAAGCCCAGTCTCCCATGGAGCGGAGTCTGATGCGAGGGATGGTTAGAAGGCCAGTGTCAGAGGTGCTGACGACATGTGTCAGTCAATAGTGTAGGGTAATCTGCAATAAAATGTTTCAACAACAAGATTATGCATTTACCTGCATTTAAATAAGGTTTCTAAATGAAGGAGACAGGGTAATTAAAACCCTTTCCTGCTGTCAAATGACCGAATCGCCCTCTAGTGGCTACATGGGTGGAATGTTATTCATATTTATCATAATTAATAAACATTACTTCAAAAAACCTGCCGAAAATCCGGTGTTTCTATATCAAACAGTTTTGTTATATTTCAGTCTTCTGTGATGTGTGTATAAAGTGTAATATTGGGATGCAAACTCTAAATTGAATACATTTCAACTATGTATCTGATATGGTACAGGTGTCTTATTTTATTTAAGCCCATAACCATGTGTGTCAGGTATATACTTTTGTTTCAAAGTAGATGTGTTTAAGACTACCAAGAAACACTCTGTGTGACCCTGAGTTAGCCCATTGATTTCTAAGCCTTGAGACAATTGAGACATGAATTGTGTATGTGTGCCATTCAGAGGGTGAATAGGCAAGACAAAATATTTAAGTGCCTTT